TTCTTGTAGAAGGTATTGTTCAGTTAGAAATCTGCTAGTCCAACAATTTGTCTCAAATCTCGGTGATAGAAAAAGTGGACATTTTATATACTCCCAGGTTATCAGGGACCATCCCAATTAATCCTGTCAGCCCACTTTTTCAGCTGATCTTAAAATGTCCCAGTTCCTCTCTCCTCCTCCCACCTGCTCTCTTTAGCCTCACGTTGCTTCAGTTGTTGCAAATCTGATTTCAAAGTGCAAAAGTAGTTTGTACTTAAATAACTCAGTGGGGCAAGATGAGAGGAAGGACATGTTGTCCTTTCTAGTTGGTCCAGGCAATAGCAAACTGGGGCAGCATCCTACCTTATTGTTCTTTCTCCTTAATAACCTTTGCATTTTAACCACATTCTGATACTGCTTGGCCACAAGTGTCCTTTCTGTTATCAGTAAAATGATATTTGTTTTGCCCCATTTCTGTGATTCAAACATCCCTGAGAAACAAAGAACTCTTGTTTCTTTTTCATTTTACAGTTTAGGAAGACTGGAGGTTGAGGTTGAGAGGACAAAGATTACCCAATTGCATGCCTTTGACTCTTTCTTGAGTCATTTATATGACAATGCAGAAGAGAGACACTTGTAGCCCTTGTAAAATAAGCATTCTAACAAAGTGACTTTGAGCACAAAGTGTTCCAAATCTCTAAAGGCTTACTTCTAAGGCTGCAATCTGAGCAAGATTGAGAAAGTTACTGTTTTAGACTGTGGGAGGGGGCATGTTGTTGTGATCCAAAAAAATAAAATCTTCAAATTCTGGTGATAGCTGTGGTCCTTCACACCTCCAGTTTCCTGCTAGATGGAAGCTTGATTGAACATGGCAAGTCCTTAATATAACATGTGAAACTCAAACATGCTTTGTTAATTGATACTGGAATATATTTGCATTCTCCCGTCTCCCCTTATTCTTTCTATCACTCTTGGAGACAGTTTAACAGCTCTTTCCCAAGATTCTAAACTGCTTGAAGCAGTCAGTTGTAGTTTCTTCCTGCTATCTTAAAAGATGGTGAGATTTATTTCTCTTTACCCAAATCATCAACAGTTAGATTAGGTTTAGCTATTTTATGTCAATATTTATTAAAGCCATTATTGTTTGTTTTTAAACCACAAACTACATGTTTGTCATTTTTTGAGTTAGTCTTTATTCTTTAGGTAGGCATATTTGAAATAAAATAGCTGGACTCACACTTCTGCTGTACTGTAATTGAAAGCTGGACTCTAACAAGTTCAACTTTCATACTTGCTTATTTTTGTTTCCTTTTAAAAGGGTTAACACTCTGGGAAACTAAGATTGCACCCCACAATTGAACAGGGCAATGATCAGAGAGAATAATAAATGAGAAGATATTCTCTGGAGAGCTGCATATGTCATTCCATTATAATATATTATACTGATTCTTCACTAGCTAATATTTCACTGGAGGCATGATATGATTCATCACCTACATAGCAAGCAACATACGGCTGGGAGCTATCCCTCTATAGCTAGTCTGAATCTGATTCACAGAATCTATTCTGACATTTGAAACTGCAATGTAGTGATAAACATTTGAGAGGAGAGAAGCCATCACATATCAATGAAAAATAAGGCTCCTTTCTTCAGCTGCCAGATATGCTGCAATCAAGTGGAACACTATTCGGAACACATTACTTTTGCACAGTGCCAAATATAGGCTGGTCTAAAAGCCTTCCCAAAAGATGTCTGGGTTCTTGATAGTTATGTAAACAAAAAAGAAAGGCCCATACAACTTAAGGAGCTTAATGTCTAAATCCGAACAGTGGAAATGGCATTAGGATTTGACATCCTTGACCACCAGCTGAGGGGCACACTCTAGAAAGCCTTGACCCTCCTCAGCCTTGCTGAAAGGACCTGTTCACGTGTGCCTTCCAAGCAAGACAGAAGAGGATATAGGACCAAGGAGAAGCAGCAGCTACCCTGTCTCTCTGGAATCCACTCAACCAATCAGAAGGTGGAGACAAGTGAACAAGCAGCAGTCACAGGATCTAGAAAGAAGAAGACCTATTCCTACAGGTTCTAGACCTACAGGATCTAGAAAGGAGGAGACCTACCGAGTGCAAATCTAAGGGAACATCAGTAGAAATGGGGATGTGGATTAAACACAATGCTGCTCAGACTGATGGTCCATGGACCAGTGCCAGTCTGTACAAGGGGTAGGCAACCTTTCCCCTTTAAGGGCCGAGGGACTTCAGCTCCCAGAATCCCAGGAGCTATTAGCCAACATGGGACTATTGGCCAACATGGCTGAGGCTTCTGGGATCTGAAGTCCCTCGGCCCTTAAAGGGGAAAGGTTGCCTACCCCTGCCTATCAGCTGCAGTCAGTTTGTAGGAAACTATACAAAATACAATAATAATCTGGCACAGATATGGTACAAGCCCCAGGCATATTGGGGAAAAATCACCAGCTTGCCAGATAAAATAGTTTGAGAACCACTGGATTGAAGTATTAAACCTAAGTCTTTTCAGAAAAAAGTGTGGCAACAAAGAACAATGTCTTCTTTATGGTGGCACTCCAATTGCAAAGCAGCTTTCTCAGAATACCCTCTGTCCCTGTGGCTGATGATAGATGCTGAGGGTAATGAATGGCACTAAGACATTAGAGAACATTAGTGTCTTGTGTGTGCCACTTAGCTTATCTTGAGCTGTCTAAGGGGGGTTGCAGACTGCCAGAAATAGTACAAATTGAGTCCACTTTTAGGGTTAGTGTTAGGGCCTTTGCAGACTGCCAGAAATAGTGCACATTAAATTGAGGCACTGCCCTGGCTCAGTGCTAGGGAGTCATGGGAATTGTATTTTTTTCTGAGACATTGAGCCTTCTCTGTCAGGGAGCTCTGGTGCCACAATAAAATACAGTTCCCATGATTCCCTAGCATTGAGCCAGGGCAGTGCCTCAATTTAATGTGCACTATTTCTGGCAGTCTGCAAAGGCCCTAAGTGTTAGGGAATCATGGGAATTGTTTTTTTCCCTGAGACATTGAGCCTTCTCTGTCAGAGAGCTCTGGAGCCACAATAAAGTACAGTTCCCATGATTCCCTAACCCTAACCCTAACCCTAAAAGTGGACTCAATTTGCACTATTTCTGGCAGTCTGCAACCCTCCTAAGCAAGTTTGCTCTCCTTAGGTGTGGTGGTGGATTATATCTCACTGACAATGGTGAAATGACATGCAATATTCCAGTCAGGTCCATTCAGTTTCTGTGTGTTGAATGCAGAGAGCCAATGAGGTATAGTGCTTTGAGTGTTGGATTTTCGAAACTGGGGTTTGAATCCCTGCTCAGCCATGAAAACACAGTGAGTGACCTTGGGCAAGTCACCTTCTCTCAACCTTTGAGGAACGCAATGGCAAACTCTCTGAACAAATCTTGCCATGAAAACCCCATGATAGGTTAGCCTTAGAGTCGCCCTAAGTTGGAAACAACTTGAAGGCACACAACCACACGTGGAATGGGAGAGTTGCCTTTTGCCTCCGGCAACAAAATGTCACAGGTGAGCTTTGGGTGCTCACCCATTCTCTAATCTTGAAGCAATTTATCATGTCTCATTACAGTCAAGAAGATTTAAAGTAATGGGTGTGAAGAAATGGGTATGAGTAATGGGTATGAAGGCTGGAGACCATTTTAAAAGTCACCAAGAGGAACAAAGGGACTGAATGATATTACAGAAAGTGTTATTAATAGTATTGCATCTATTATTAATATTTTAAAACAGAGAGAGACATTTAGACTAAAAAATTCCAGTATTATATATTCTAGCAAAGGGGACAATGGTTTTTGTTTCAGTCTATTTCCATCATAAAAGTGTAACAGAAAGATGAGAAATCCAGTCTCTTAACAATCATAGAAAAGCATAACCAAAACATGAGGAATTCATTCTTCCACAATGCAGTTCTATGCTTGCCTACACAGAAATAAAACCTGTGTAATTCAAAGAATTAAGTGTGTATAAATTAGGAGCCTAAGAACACATGAGTGAAACTAATAGTGTAATATCAATTTAATAGTACTTGAATATAATTTCATTATAAATTAATAACTTTAAAAATGTCAGAATGAACAGGATTTTTTTTTTACATGCAACACGGCTGTTCTGCTCATAACCCTATTCAAAAAAGAAGATCTAAACAGATCTTTTCATCTCTATTGTACTTTCACACCAACCATATAAACCCTAGAAGCAGAGGAAATGTAAATGGTGATGCAGTGGTTAAATGCCTGTACTGCAGCCACTCACTCATAGACCACAAGGTTGCAAGTTCAATACTAGCCAGGGCTCAGGCTACACTCAGGCCTGCATCCTTCCAAGGTTGCTAAAGTGAGTACCTAACTGTTGGAGGGCAATGAGCTTACAGTTGTAAACTGCTTAGACATCCCATAGCGCGATATGAAGTGGTATATAAATGAAGCTGCTTTGCTTTGCTAAATATATTTGAGCTTTCAGAAATAAGATTCACAGTAGAATAAAATGACCCATGTTGCTTTTTATCTTCTAAACAGAAAGACAGAAGCTGAGATCTTCTATTCAGGAGATGAAGCATAACAACTACTGCAGCAATAACAGCAATAGTAATATTTCTTACCCATCTCTCCCCATGGATCAAGGCCAGGAATAACAACAGATTAAGAAATACACAATGTCATTTAAAATTCACAATTTAAAAATCATCTGGATGAACTTTAACTCCCGATGTTATGTGGTAGTTATGTAACACTGCCTCATTAGTAAATTGTGATGCTTAAGAACTGAATGGGAGACCAAAGACACATGCACATCTTCAAATCCATGCACAAAAGCCTTACATTTTGTTGTTATTGTGTGCCTTCACATAGTTTCTGACCTATGGCAACCCTAAGGTGATCCTATCATGGGGTTTTCTTGGCAAGATTTGTTCAGAGGAGGTATGCCATTGCTTTCCCCTGAGGCTGAAAGTATGTGACCTGCCCAAGTGGGTTTCATGGCTGAGCAGGGATTTGAACTCTGTCTCCAGAGTCATAGTCCAATACTCAAACCACTCCGCTATTCTGGCTCTCGCAGTGGATAGACAATAGCTCATAAATGCAACCCTATTCAGTCTTCAACTGATGCAGACATTTCACATCAGTCAAAAATGTCCAGCTACTTCCATGGGTGAACTCACTCATGAATAAGACACTGACAGGATTCCAGGCAAAACATTTTCTTCAGACTTTTCTTTTAATTGGCTTTGTTAGTTGCTGATTCAAATGAGCTGTGTAGTACTTAGGGATGGATGAGAAACCCATTTAGTTAGCATTTTCATGTAAGAGTCCCCAGTTCAAAAGTTAAATAATTTAATGCAGACCTTATTATTATTATTATTAGCTTTATTTATTAAGCGCCGTAAATGTACATGGCACTGTACAAAACCAAATAAAATCCAGAATATATAAAAAGCCTGCCTGTGGCGTACAATCTAAAAGTAAAACAACAAATTAAAACATCATAAAAAAACAAGTGAAAACATCAAATCAATATTAGGTCACGCATCAGGAACAACCAGGTCACGATCACAGACTCCCTGGGAACGCTTCCCTAAACAGTGTGGTCTTTAACTCGGCTTTGAAGCTGGTTAAGGACGTGTTCAGTCGTACTTGTAAGGGAAGGAGGTTCCAGGAGTGAGGGGCAGCGAGCGAGAAGGGACGGATCCGGGACAGGGCAGTGGAAATCCGGGGCTGGGACAGGAGACCTTGGCTACCAGAACGGAGGGAACGAGAGGGGGTGTAGTGAGAAAGAAGTTCAGAAAGATAGGGAGGGGCGAGCCCATGCAGGGCTTTGAAGGTGAGCAAGAAAAGCTTATAACGAATGCGGAAGGGAAAGGGGAGCCAGTGAAGGGATGACAAAAGGGGACAGACATGGTCATATCGGCGAGCGAGTGAGATAATACGGGCAGCTGAGTGCTGAACAGAAATCAATGGGTGGAGGTGAGAGAGAGGAAGCCCTGCCAAGAGAAGGTTACAGTAGTTGAGTCGTGAGACCACTAGGGCATGGACCAAAGTCTTTGCAGTAGAAGGAGAGAGATATGGACAGATTTTGGAAATATTATAAAGAAAAAATCTACAGGCCTTGGCTGTGGCCTGAATCTGTGGGATAAATGATAAAGAGGAGTCGAAAATGAAACCAAGACTGCGGGCTTCCTGAACTGGCTGAATAGAGATGTTGTTGATGGAGATAGAAAGGGAATATTCAAGAGTGGGCTTAGGAGGGAAAACAAGAAGCTCTGTCTTGGCCATGTTTAGCTTCAAGCGCCGATGGCGCATCCAGTGGGAGACAGCAGTCAGACAAGATGAAACTTGCTGCTCAAGCCCTGGCGAAAGGTCAGGGGTAGAAAGATAGAGCTGGGTGTCATCGGTGTACAGATGATAAGAGAAATCAAAAGAGCTGATAAATTTACCCAGGGACAATGTATATAGAGAGAAGAAAAGGGGACCCAAGACAGAACCCTGAGGAACTCCAACAGATAGAGGAACAGAAGATGAAGTCTGTCCACCTGCGACCACTGCAAAAGATCTATCTGACAGGTAAGATTTAAACCAATCGAGAATGGAGCCTGAGAAGCCAAGGTCAGAAAGTAAGTCAACTAAAAGACAGTGGTCAACGGTGTCGAAGGCCGCAGACAGATCGAGGAGGACAAGGATAGAGTAAAGGCCATTCACCTTGGCCCACAAGAGATCATTTGAGATCTTGGTGAGGGCCGTCTCTGTGGAGTGCCGTGGGTGGAAACCAGACTGGAAAGGGTCCAAAATGGAGTTGGTGTCGAGAAACTCAAGACAGCGAGAGTAGACAACTCATTCCAGAACCTTAGAGAGAAAAGGAAGAAGAGAAATTGGGCGATAGCTAGACAAGGAAGACCTCTGTCCTTCTGCAACCTGCCCTTTTTCCTCATTCACATTTGAAGGAGATTACCTTGTGAACATTTATGAATATTTATCTCACATCCAACAGTCCTAAATATTTGTCTAAAAGAAAGTTATTTTTAATATATTTTTAAAAATTCTCTGATCTTGTACAGCAGACAAGAAAATAAGTCTGAAGAGACTCAAGGTGATTTTCAATGCTTCTCTGAGGCTACCTTTATTGAGTGCATATCTCCACTTAGGAGCATTTATCTTATCTCGTT